TAAAGCTAAAGATTCACGCTTTCTAACAATGTAAACCACATTTGCGTGCGATTTTTATTTTACTTTCTGGAACTTTGCAAACTTGGTAAAAAATTTTTAGAATTGATGCATCTCCATTTGCATCCGTGCAGCTTTGTAAAGAATCAGTAAGTAATTTAAAGAATTATGGATATCGAAAGTAGAGACTTTGAGCTTTAAAATGCTTTTTTGATCATTCCTACGTACGATTACGTATTACGATCATTTTTCACGAAGTTACACTCTCTTGAAATTTGCCTATTTTTAGTAATCAGAATGGGTGATGCTTTAATTTTGCTGTCGAGTGTATATTACTGGAAGAAGAATTGAGTGCTGAACGTGAAGCCAACATCTGTGCGTGAGAGAAAGGTATAGGTTCCCAATTGACTGTAATACCGAATACGCATCATGATGATACGCATGTGCCATTCAGCTCCCACTCACCCGTTTTGCCTAATTTTTTATTTTTTGAAAATCTTCAAAAAAAAAAAAACAGGGCTAAGTGGGAGCTGAATATCGCATTGCAGTTAATTGGAAACATATATCTTTCTCTCGCACAGATGTTAGCTTCAGCTCGATATACAAATGGTATAAACAATTCTCCTTCCAGTAGTATATATTCTAAGATTGAGGCTAATAGTGTAATGGCAAGTACGGTAAAAATATTAAATAACGCACGCGAAGCGCACGTTTGTAATGCTAGTCTTTTCATAAATTTTAATAAGAAGAAACACACTGTTATATCAGTTTCTATTTAAGAAAAAAACAATATTAAATATGACAATTTTGAATTACCTATAAAATTTTAGTGTAATCTATACTTATTAAATGCTCCATTTACTTTTATTATTTTTAATATTTATCAACTAAATGTGCCATTATTGTAGTTTATTCAATTTATTATCATATAACACATAAATATTATTACTGTCAAAATTGTTATTGTTTTGTTTTGATTGCTTAGTGATGTTTCATAACGAGAAAAATTGTTAAAAAATTTCATAAATAAATCTTACAGGTAAGGTTCCATTTTTGGTAGAAGATATGTTTCAATAATTTTTGTTTCACGTGCTTTATCGGATATACTCTCATCAAGCGAAATATCGGTTGGACCGAAAATTGTGGCCAATCCCGCGGTTCTCTTTTGTTGGAAATGCGTCAATTGTTCATTCAATTCTTCCTTTGCTCTGGTACGTGCCTTCCAAAATATCTGCATAGAGAAACAATAAAAATTAGTCACAATGTTTGGTGTAAAAATCAAATTTGAAAAAAGTACTATAAACACTTAGAGCTCAAAAATTATTACATAAAATTAAAAAATCATAAAAATGTTCATTACTTAATATTAATATATAAAAAATTTTTTTATTACAGTATTCTAAAAAATAAGAATAAAATAAGATTTCCATTAATAATGCATTTTATTTTATGTTGAGCCATACCTTTCTGAGAATTTCTTCTTTATCAGATTCTTTCAAAAGGACATCATCAATCTCATTTGCGACATTCTCATCTACATTATGCAAACGTAATGGCTAAACAAACAAGTAATTATTATATCGTTTATGTAAAAAAAATGTTAAAAGTAACAATTTTAAAATGTACCATTAATTAAATTATTAAGGCTTCTGACTACTCAGCTAAGAACTTCGTGTTGATGGTAGCGACACACTATATCGCGATAGAAGTTAGAAGCTTGTTTGTTGTATTAAGCTCTTTCTATAATACGTCATATGTCAGTGTTATAAGCAGTGATTGGAAGTAACTCGTTACTTGTAACGTCATTACCGTTACAGTTACTTTTTTGGTAATGGATTGGTAACGACTTACTTTATTTTACTTATTTTACTTTTTTGGTATCTATAACGGTAACGTAGTTACATTTTTTTGGTAACGGTAACGAATTATACAGTTACTTTTATCGTAACTTTTTGTATTTATGACAAAATTTTCGTACATTCAATCTTCAGTTTGTACCTAGTATAGCATAGTTTACTCTTATTTTAAGACTGTTT